CTCTCTCTCTCTCTCTCTCTCTCTCTCTCTCTCTCTCTCTCTCTCTCTCACACACACACACACACACACACACACACACACACACGTGCGCGTGCGTCAGTGGGATGTCTTGCGCAATTTAGACAGGGGTTCTGATTCGGAGTCGCACTCTTCCTCCGACGAACAAACATCTTTCTCGTCGCCTTCGCCTTCGTCCTCCTTGCCACTGCCATCAGTCCCATTGCGGCCACCACTCCCGTTTTCACCATTGCTACTACCATCACTTTCGTCGCTGCCGCCACCATTTTCATCAGCGCCGTTACCACTTTCATCGCTGCTTGTCCGTTCTGGCGCTGCTTCCTCCTCCTCTTGCACGGGCTGCTTCTGCGGTCGTCCCCGCTTTCTTGTGACAAGTGCGGGTGCAGGACCTTCTGCCAAATTGCCACCTTCCACGTCCTGAGCCCCCTCATCACTTGTCCCGCCTCGAGTTGCAACCTCCTTCCGAGGTCTCCCTCTCCCTCTTTTGGCCGGGATCGAGGGCGGTGCACATGCAATTGCCCTGGCAGCTTTGTATTTGTTGGCATGCTCAACGGTCATGGTCCTCGTGGCCTGATCCAACTCGTGCAAATGTTGCCGGGCCAGAAACTTGGAAGCCTTTGTGGCCTTCCTCCACGACTCGTTGAGTTGTCTCTCGAGTTCAAGCAGATTGCGCGCAGCCGATAACGTTGGATTGTGACCTCCTTCGCCATCTCATCCCGTGTGAGATCTTCCACCGGTTCATCCTCTTCCCATTGCGGTGAATCCTTATCAGCCTTCGGCTTCTTGATCAACGCATCGAACAAACGCTGGTTCCATCTGTTGAAAACCAGCGTGCTAAGCTTGATGGCGCCGAGGTTGTTACGGAGACGACTATGAATTCGTTCGAACAAGTTCCAGTTCCTCTCGCAACAAGAGGAGGAGGACACTTGTCCAAGCAGACGAACGGCTTGCTTTTGGAGGATGGGCATGTCATTGCACCACTTCCTCCACCACCTCGCCGGCTGCATTAGACGGGCCTGCATCCTTTCATCTTCGCAATTGTATCCCCCAGTGCCCTCAATCCAACAACAAACCTTTGCATCGACCTCAACAAACGACGACTCTTTGCACCACGAGTAAAGCCACGTCCAAAACCCATCTGCAACCTCTGCATCCGTTTTTGGGCGCGACGCTGTGTACTCCAGATCCAAGAACAGCGCAACACAATGTAGCGGTGATGTCATTGCGTTCCAGTGCCGCATGATGATCTCCCCTCGAGTTCGTCCTTCTCCGCTTCGACAAAGTGCTTGCTCTTCCTTAGTTTCTCCACTGTGCTGTCCATACAGGCATACACCTTGCTAATGGTGGGGCCCGTGCCATCGACCTTCTTCAAAAGTTTGAGCAGGATCTTGGACGTCTGCATCACCTTCTCGACATCTGCCAGAAGGTGTCGTCCAAGATGGAATGCGTCGCCTTCACAAACAGATCGTGCAGTGAAGTGTGCACGATTGCTGGCTTCCAGTCGTTATCTGTCACACACGCACGCAGCGGCAAATGCAACCCCTGCAGGCTTGACAGCAAGATGAAGTTCGTGGCAAACTGGGTCGCACCCGGTTTTGACACTACACCGCCATTGGAGTAGTGGATCAGGAGGTCTCGCACCCGCGTATGGTTCATGAAGAACTTTGCAAGCTCCGATGCCCTTTTCATAATTGCACCGACCCACCCGATCTTCGCGAAAGACTCAAACATCAAGTCGAGGGAGTGTGCTGTGCACGGGACAGAGAAGATGTGAGGGTAATCTGCTTCAATTATTCGCCCCGCGGCTGCGCAAACAGCAGCATTGTCCATAATGACCCCCACCATTGCCTCCGCACCTATCTCCTCTATTGCCCTCTTCAGAATGGCGTAGTATGCTGAGGCGCCCTTGTTGCGCCGTGACATACACACGCTTCTTCAAAAGATGGAGGCTTTAGGGAAGGAGACCATCACGCTGATGTGTGGTCTCTGTTGGCGATCTGTCCAACCATCAAGCTGCAACATGCAGCCAGTGGTTGACCACTCCTGTGGCAACTCCTCCACCCTCTTCCCGACCCTGCCCCTTGTCACTTCGACCCTCTTCGTCCTTGTGTTTTCGAACTTCGCGTACCCGAAGCCTTTCGGCGCATTCATGAGCTCGTGCACCATTTTGTCCCAGTACTCGCTCTTCATCATGTTGAACGGGATGCATTCGGCCGTCATCCAGTCGTTTATCGTGCGTTGCGTTTGCGCGTGTGCCATAATGACAGCAACGCTGTCCGTGATCGTTGTGTGGCGGCGCCCAACAACAGACCCCGATGGATCCACAACTCCTGCGGCCGACGTTCACGGATTCCAAACGTCCGTGGATCATTCTCATCCTCCGATGACTCCTCCATTTCGAGCTCTCCCATTTTCGCCCCCAACTCGGACCTGGCAGCCGACCTACCCTTCTCCCTCCTCAAGTACTCTTTTGGTATTGTACCTCTGAGGCACTCAACATCGCATCTCGACCCCTTGAGGAAATGTTCCTTTACCCTGCTGGTTGTCCCATCCACGAGCTTGTCGCAGTAATTGCATACACGCTTTTTGTTCCCCTTGTCGGCTTGCCCACTGATTCCCACTTCCCTAAAGTGTTTCTTCACGGCCTGGCTAGTGCTTTTAGTCATCCTGCAAGCACACAAAGAAAGCGAAAAGAACAACACTTGTTAAAGCCAGTTCACTCCCTAACCCTCAGTGCTCTCCCTCTTCCACTCTCCATTCACTCCCGTGCCCTTAATGCTCTCCCTCCTCCACTCTCAATTTACAAAAATCAACCGTTCAATCAATCAATCAATCAATCAATCAATCAATCGATCAATCAACCGGTCAATCAATCAATCAATCAATCAACCAAACTGAATTAATCATTCAATCAATCAATGAAGAGAAGCCTTCATTGATGTATGGATTGCGTTGATTGATTGATCAGTCGATAGGTTGACTGATTGATTGATTGATGGTTTGATGGTTTGATTGGTTGGTGGATGGTATGATTGACTAATTGATTGATTGATCGATTGATTGGTTTATTGGACTTGATTGATTGATCGATTGATTGGTTTATTGGACTTGATTGATTGATTGATTGATTGATTGATTGATTGATTGATTGATTGATTGATTGAGCGAGCGAGCGAGCGATAGACTGATTGATGGATTGAGCGGTCAATAATCAAAATTTCGACAACACAACAGCACCCCCATTGGGGTCAAATGGTTGCCAAAAACAAGAGTGCCTTTCTGGCAATCAACCGAAGAATCAATCAATCAATCACAAACGTAAAAAGATGCAAACGGAAAATGAACAAAAGGTCAGACAAACTCTACGTAACAAATATGGAGGGAAAAGAAAAAGGAACGAGGATCAAGTTTCGTTCAACAATTCAACCATTCAAACAAAAAGAAAGAAAGTAGAAAGAGAGAGAGAGAGAGAGAGAGAGAGAGAGAGAGAGAGAGAGAGAGAGAGAGAGAGAGAGAGAGAAACCCCAATCTAACTCACGTGTAGTATCTGCCCCGATTAGTTTCATATCTGATCCGTGGTCCATCGAGACCTCCTTTTTCAGAAAAGAAACAGAAATTTGTACAAGCGCACGCGCTCGCAGGGGGGGGAGGGGGGGAGAGAGAGAGAGAGAGAGAGAGAGAGAGAGAGAGAGAGAGAGAGAGAGAGAGAGAGAGAGAGAGAGAGAGAGAGAGAGNATACACATCTAGATGTGTATAAGAGACAGGAGAGAGAGAGAGAGAGAG